CAACCACGTGCAACTCAAAGACTTGAAATTCAGTCCCCAAATATGTGCGGTTCTCACGTATGGGCATTGAAAGTTTTAGAGGGAAAATTGCTCATTAAACAGTTAGGTGACTTTCAAAGAACGACCGTTAAACAGAAATTCACTTTCTTTATGCAAAATTTACAATGATTTACGTTAGTGAACGCACAAGGTAAGTACAAAGCAACAACTATTTATGTAGTTAACAACCTGATTACTTAAGTCTGGTGCAAAAATGCATGATTGCACCAGCAAGCCTTGTGCATTCCAGTCTGAATTTTATGCGTTTGCATGTATGCAAATGCGAAAACGCATATTGCGGCGACTCCGGTGTGTGTGTGTGTGTGTGTGTGTGTGTGTGTGTGTGTGTGTCCGGATATTTCAACTTGGCATCCATGCAAGCTCCAGAGCCAAAATTTTGCGAATGGGTTACCCGGCCAAGTGCCACCCCAGGACCGCGGTACCTACCCTCATGCAGGTCTAGACTCCGCGTACAAGGGGATCAAAGTTTCGACGGGAAAACCGCTAACTCGGGAACCAGAAAAGCTGGAAAGCTGAAATTTTGAGGTTATGTCCTTGTCTGTATAGAACTCAAAGATTTCAAACTCATCCCCCAGGTGTGCGTGGTTTTACCGCATATGGCTCCGCAGGGGCTCCTGGCGCGAAAACCGCTAGCTCGGGAACCAGGAAACCTGGAGAGCTAAAATTTTCAGCGCAAGTTCAGTTCATAATTATCAAATTTAGCCCCTCGGCATGAAAGGTAATCACGTGCGGCCTCGCAAAAATTTTTAGCGCGAAACTGGCTAACTCGGGGACCAGGAAAGCTGGGGAGCTGAAATTTTCAAAGAATGTTCTTAGCACATGTGCAGCTTAAACTTATCAGATTCAGCTGCTGGGCTTACGTGGTTCCTACGTACAGTCCAGTGAAAGTTTTTGGCGCGAAATGGCTAACTCCGGAACCAGGAAAGCTGGGGAACTGAAATTTTCAAAGAATGTTCCTAACACAAGTTCAACTTATAATTATCAAATTCAGCTCTTCAGCATAAAAGGCAATCACGTACAGCCCCGTGAAAGTTTTCGGCGCGAAAATGACTAACTCGGGGACCAGAAAAATTGGGAGTTGAATTTTTTAGAGAATGTTCTTATCACATGTGCGACTAAGACATCAAATTCAGCCTCCAGGCATCCGTAGTTCTCACGTACGGCCCAGTGAAGTTTTTTGGCGCGGAAATGACTAACTCGGGAACCAGGTAAGTTGAGGAGCTGAAATTTTCAGGGAATGTTCCCAGCCCATGTACGACTTAAATTTATCAAACTAGTCCCCCGGGCATGAGTGATTGTCACGTACGGCCTCGTGAAAATTTTTGAAAAAATTGCTAACTCAAGAACCAGAAAACTTGGAAAGCTGAAATTTCAACGAAATGTTCCTTGTTCAAATACCGCGTAGACAATTAACTTCCCGAACTTCGAGGACCATTATATCGCACATCTCTAGCTACTAGGTTTCCGAACGATCTCATTACAGTACGAAATATTGCAAAAACGCATGGTCGCACGCCCCCCTTCCCCTTCCGGTGCGCGTCGTCAATGATTTTTTGTATTTTTGAGTACATGCATCAAACAGGCGATGTATACTAGCTAAGGTATGCAGCCCAAGACGAAAGGCCAGGCACGATGTGACTAGCTTGTGGGAGCATTAACGATAGTAACATTAACGCAAATACCCACATCGATTGTCCGAATGATCTTGATGAATTTAGTAGAAAGAACTGTATAATTTACGGTGCGTGAAGCCATTGTAAGCCAACAAATGCTAAAATCCTTTGATAAAAAGCTACTCGAGTTTTTCTTTCCTTTTGTATTACGAATAGTATAAACGACATTCAAAAGATTCACGAATGCAAATAAAAACTCGTGTGGCGCTATTGTTGTCGCATTGTTGTATACTTTATTTCTACGCAGTATGATTCTCTATTCTCAAACCAAAGTTGATTTGGTTTGAGAATGGAGAATCATAAATCAAGGAGTACCCAGGAACATCTATTCACAAGCCATTATCTTCAGCGTTGCATTAATCAGCAGTTGTGGGCAAATCACCCGCTCCAATTTTTTGGCATTTTTATCTCCGTATTTTAGATTTCACCCAGACGTATGCCTTATGACTACGGGTCACTGATGCATTATCACGCTGTGGCTCACGCTATTCGAGTCTCCGATTTCACCATTGTCCCCAAGGAGTTGAAGTATGTGACAACAATGGGTACCGAGAAGATGGCATTTCTCGATGCTAAAGTTATCAACGATATATACTGCCCAAGTTCGATCTCTACGTCATTGAAAGTCTCACATTGTTAGAGTGACCGCTCGGGCGGTCAGCTTGGACACTCGCTCGTCTGTGTAGGAGATGCATTTACACACCTAAAGCGGATATGCCAAATGCAGTAGTCAGGTAGCTGGCGGCAAAAGCACACTGCAAATTTTCAGCCATTTCACGAAATAGTGGTGTTTTTCAACCATTTTTTCAAAAAATGTGTTTGGAGTACTTTACGCTACTAAAGCTGCGTTACAGTAAACTGGTCGTTGTTTCAGATTCCATGAATTTTTTTGAAAACCTTAATTTTGCAAAGTTAGAAACCTTAATGATGTGTCTAGACCCTTCGATTTGGCGTGAGCTCAGCGATGCCTTAGAAGCCTAATTTTTTACCGACAAAGCACGTAGCGTTTTCCATGCTAACTAATAATTTCTTTACGAAATTTTGAAACTCCTTCCGCAAATGCGTTTTTCTTTTACTTTACTTCACCTTTATGTTGCACACCTTGCCGAGGGTCGGTGGGCGCTGCAGTACCCCTAAGAAAATTGATTAACCACTTGCGGAGTCGGCGAACGGCCAAGACACATACACTGAACAAACAGTGAAAGTTAATTATACCCGGGGAGTCAAAAGTCCTGGCACATATTAATGTGAAACATTCAGTAACAACATCACAAACACCACACTGATAATTTAATTAGTCTTGATATTCTTAGTTTAGTTGCTTATTATGCGTTTTGTGCTGTGTAACAGCATTACACAGTCACGGGGTTGTCTGTGTGTGTGTGTTTGTGTGTGTGTGTGTGTGTATGTTTGTGCGTGTGTCCCACATTTTGTCCCGCACTTTCAACTCGGGAACCACAAAAGCTAGGCGGC